AAAAAAAAAGAAAAGAAAAGAAGAACCAGAGACAAAACTAATTTGGAACTTTATATCTCTCTCACCCCTTTCATCCTTAAGTTAGGTACCATTCAGTTTTTTATAGGACTTTATACCTAGAAACTACTAATCATCTAATACTTATCTGAAGTAGATATCTAATTTTAGTCAAGAATATTCATCCATGAAAGGGTAGAGATGATTCATTCAACCACTACTCTAAGTGGATACTGCCTAGGATAGTAGTCACTGAGACACATTAGAGTGAGATCTTCAGACAAGTTATTTTCTTTAGTGACTATTGAAACTGTTGGTCAACATTGCACATTTTAAATATTTGTGCCATTAAAACAAAAGCAAAAAGCAGGTAAAGTTAACTTTTTCTTTTAATGAAAGAATAAACTACTTACACAAAGTGATAGAAAAGCCTTAAAAACCTTTCTAATTAGAATATATAAAATGCCACTCAAATCTTGAACTAAGGCTTAAAATTTTGAGTAATCTTTTCATTAAATATATATTACAAGTAATAGGATAATTTGAAACCCCCCCCCATGAACCCCACCGCAAATTTATTTATCTATTAAGACATTATTTTATAGAGTAGTAAATTCTGCTTTTTACTGCCCATTTCATCTTGAGTTTCCTGGGGACAAAAACCATGTCTATTTCTTTGTAATTATAGCCCCAGTATTAGTCACAGGGTACAGAGTCAAGAAATGCTGCTGAATAATTGACAATTAAGCATCACAACAGGAATATATTCCTGAACTCAAACACAAATCTAAAAGGTTTTGTTATAAACTGAGATGGCCTAACTAAAAAACTAGAGGCAAGACAGCACCTGTGGCTCAATGAGTAGGGCACTGGCCCCCTCTACCAAGGGTGATGGGCTCAAACCCAGCCCCGGCCAAACTGCAACAAAAAATAGCCGGGTGATGGTGCAGGTGCCTACAGTCCCAGCTACTCGGGAGGCTGAGGCAAGAGAATCACCTACAAGAGCTAGAGGTTGCTATGAGCTGTGACATCTTGACAAAATGAGACTCTGTCTGTAAAAAAAAAAAAGAAAAAAACTAAAGGCAAACATAATTATAAGAGGGACTTTACCTAAAAAATTTAATCAGGGCAACCTAATTCTCTGTACCCTCTTTGAGTCCCAAACAAACAAACAAAAAAAAAACCTAGGGGCCAGATAAAAGGGCATTAAAAAGAAGAAATTCTCTCATACACAACCATCAGAAAGATTCAACATTATTATGACTCCAATAAAAAAGGGACTAAGGATATTAAAAAATAGCTCTTTTGTAGGGAGGTTGGTAAAACCTTTGAATAATTTTGCAATCCTCTCTATAGATGAAGCGTGACATAACAACCAATTATTTCTGTTGGTAAATAATTTAAAACCAAAATAAAAGCCTGAAAGTTTATAAAATAAAACTAAAATAATCCCCCTAAAAGAAAATGACAAAAAACAATGTTTTCTCTGTGAAAATCATATCCCTTTTTTCACTTCTTTATATCCTCAGAAAAGCCATGAAGAATGCCTAACAGTAACATTGATATAACAACTCAATTACCTAGCATGCTTAAGAACAAAGAGCTCAGAATAAGTAAAACTTAGAAGTGTATTACATCATTCTAAAGGAAAAAACTTGCAAAACGGCTTTGATGAAAATTTTTTAAACTTTTTTTTTTTTTTTTGAGACAGAGCCTCAAGCTGTCCCCCTGGGTAGAGTGCCATGGCATCACAGCTCACAGCAACCTCCAACTCCTGGGCTCAAGGGACTCTCCTGCCACCGCATCCCAAGTAGCTAGGATCACAGGTGCCCACCACAACGCCCAGCTATTTTTTGGTTGCAGCCGTCATTGTTTGGTGGGCCCAGGCTGGATTTGAACCCACCACCTTAGATGTATGCAGCTGGCACCTTAGCCACTTGAGCCACAGGCGCCAAGCCAATTTCTTAAACTCTTAAATACACTGAAACTTCTCAGTTCAGAACACATTTGAATCTTTTTTAAATAATCTGGTTCTCACTTTGATCATTAAATTATAATATAATGTAATGTATGATGCCCCCAAACTTCTGACATATAAGGCTAACCCAACATTAAATAGGGAAGTTGTTTCATAGTGTTTACATTCTCTGCTTTCTTACCAATCATATACCAACAATGAAAACTATTCATTTTCATCAACCTTATTTCTATTTCCTTACTTTTAATGTGCTGTTATCTTGAAAGAACTGAAAGTCATTTTATAAAATTAATTATATAAAACCCAATCAAACATAAGCACTTGATCCCTCACTGTTCTTATATTTCCAGATCGTGAGGTTGCTGAAAGTTTAATAGTTAAATAGGCTATTACTACATTTACTAAAATAGTAGTTTCCTTATTTTCCCTTTGAGTCAGAATCTCACTACGTTGCTCAGGATGGTCTCAAATTCCTAGGCTCAAGAAATTCTCCTGCCTCCTCTCCTGCCTCCACCTGTCACGTAGCTGAAACTACAAGCCTGTACCAGCTTAGTAGTTTCCTTTTTGATAGAATTACTAACTAGATGTCAAACAAGTTTTCGACTTTTATTATATATGGACTACAAAGGACTGGTGAAAGTAAACAGTTAAGAACATGTTAAGGTTACAATTAGTACAAATTTTAGTATTATCTTTGTTCAATGAATGGACTTTAAAATGAGGATTTTTGTTTGTTTATTATGTCTTTTCTTTTATCTTGTCACTGACTTGAAGTTTAGAAATAAAGTTCTGGTAATGTTATTCCCCCACAATAAAAGCCAAAGTATCAAATGTTTCCTGTTACCTTAAAATCACTGTATCATTTTGGCGATTCAAGTATCCTTCATTTGCAAGTAAGTCCAGACGGAAAAATCTATTATAGCCCCAGCATTCTCCAACTTCAAAGTCAGATGCAAATTCTCGAATGATATTTTTAGTAGGATCATTGCAAGACTGGTGAACCATCTCTACACGATATTCATATCTAAAATTGAAAATCAGACCATTACTATTTTGTTAATAAAGGAAGAATAAAAGACTCTATATATAAACATTAAAGTCATTTAGTAATTAAGAAGAAACTCATCATCATTGTATTTCTTTTAGAAAAGATTATAGCATTTATAAAAACAGCAGCATTCCATTTTAATTTCGGGTTAACGTGAGGATACAAACAACCAAATCACACTATTTGAATTTGTTAGGTAGAGTCCCTATTGTAATTGTGTCCTGCACCCCAGAGGTGTGCCATACACTCCAACGTTGTGCACATTCAGGAGTACCCTAAACTCCCCAAACTGAATTGAAATGAGTTTTCTGTCCTATGTGGGTGTGAGTTAGACAGTCTACTGGCTTCATGTCAGTATTCAGTACATTGGATATTTGTTTTTACATTCTTGTGATACTTTACTGAGAAGAATGTTTCAACTCCATCCAGGTTAATACAAAAGATGGGAAGTCACCATCGTTTTTATGGCTGAGTAGTATTCCATGGTATGCATATACCACCGTTTGTTAATCCATTCCTGAACTGATGGGCATTTAGGTGGTTTCCATGTCCTGGTAATTGTAAATTGAGCTGTAATAAACAACCTAGTGCATATTTCCTTATGATAAAATGATTTTTTTCTTCTGAGTAAATCCCTAGTAGTGAAACTCAGGCATCAAAGGGAGATCTAATTTGAGTTCTTAGAGGATTCTCCATACTTCTTCCCAAAGAGGCTGTATTAGTTGCAGTACCACCAACAGTATAAAAGTGTTCCCCTCTCTCCACGTCCACACCAGCATCTGCAACTTTGGGGTTTTGTGATGTGGAGTTATCTCAGGGTGGTTTTGATTTGCTTCTCTGATGATTAGGGATGATGAGCATTTTTTTCAAGTGTTTGTTAGCCATTCTTTTGTCTTCCTCAAAGAAGCTTCTGTTAATGTCTCTTGCCCAGTGAAGGATGAAACTGTTAGCTCTTTTTTTGTTGATTAGAGTTCTCTATAGATCCTAGTTATTATCAAGCCTTTGTCAGATCTATAACATGCAAATATCTTTTCCCATTCTGAAGATTACCTATATGCTTTGACTGCTGTGTCCTTAGTTGTGCAGAAACTTTTCAGTCTCATTAACTCCCATTTATTTATTTATTTTGTTGTTTGAATTGCCAAGAAGTCGTCTTCACAAAATCTTTCCCTAGGCTGACAACTTCAAGAGTTTTCCCCACACTTTCTTCTAGGATTTTAATCATTTCCTGCCTTAGATTTCGATATTTTATCCATCTTGAATCAATTTTTGTGAGTGGTTAAAGGTGCAGGTTAAGTTTTAGTCTTTTGCATGTGGGTATCCAGCTCTTCCGGTACCATTTATTGAATAGGGATTCTTTCCCGTGTATGCTATTGTTTGGTTTATCAAAGACCAGATGGCACTAAGAGACTGGTTTCATCTCTTGGTTTTTCTATTCTGTTTCATATATCCATGTCTCTAATTTTGTGCCACTACCATGCTGTTTTGATCACTGTGGACTTGTAATAAAGTCTGGTGAAGTGATGCCTCCAGCTTTGTTTTTATTACTAAGAATTGCCTCGGCTATACAGGTTTTTATCTGGCTCCAAACAAAACAAAGAACTACTTATTCCAAATTGTCAAAGTATGATGTTGGTGTAATAGCAGCATTTTGAATAGAAACCCAAAACATAACTGACACAAGCTCTTTTTTCCCTCATAAAAATGTTGACTGGGGCCAGGCGCAGTGGCTCAGGCTTGTAATCCTAGTACGCTGGGAGGCTGAGACAGGTGGATTGCTTGAGCTCAAGAGTTCAAAACCAGCCTAGACAAGAACAAGACCTCATCTCTACTAAAAATAGAAAAAAAAAACCCATCTGGGCACCTGTTTGTGGGCTACTGGTGGGCACCTGCAGTCCCAGCTACTTGAGAGGCTGAAGCAAGAGCATCTCTTGAGCCTAAGAATTTGAGGTTGTTGTGAGCTAAGATGCCATGGCACTCTACCCAAGGTGACAGAGTGAGACTCTATCTCAAAAAAAAAAAAAAAAAAGTTGACTAATATCTCAAGTATAAAACAACACTTGAGGCCAGGCATGGTGGCTTATACCTATAATCTGAGCACTCTGGGAATCCAAGGTGGGTGGATCACTTGAGCTCAGGAGCTCAAAACCATCCTGAGCAAGAATGAAACCCCGTCTCTAAAACTACCTGGGTGTTGTAGCAGGGGCCTGTAGTTTCAGCTACTCCAGAAGCTGACGCAAGTGGATTGCTTGAGCCCAAGAGTTTGAGGTTGCTGTGAGCTGTGATGCCACAGCACTTTACCAAGGGCAACAAAGTGAGACTCTTGTCTCAAAAATAAATAAATTAAATAATAAAATACACTTCAAAAAATAATGTATAAACAAATACTTCAAAGTTGGCTTTTGTTTTACAAATATAAGACTTTTTCTATATATTCATCATTCACATTTCCTCAGATATGAATATCCTCTCATTTCTAATATCCTTTGAGGTTTATTACCATGTGATTTTAAAATGTAAATTTTAAAATATGGCGGTGCCTGTGGCTCAAAAGGGTAGGGTGCTGGTCCCATATGCAGGAGGTGGCAGGTTAAAACCCAGCCCAGCCAAATAAATAAATAAATAAAATAAAATAAAATGTAAAATACTCTACTATATTCTTCCAATATAAGTTATAATAAAGCAACTTACTATATATTCAGAAGTTCAAGACTATAAAATTTCTTAATAGAAAATATGTATATACTGAGAAAGCCAATATACCCCTGATTTCCATATACTATTGTATAAAATTCTCAGGTCTATAAAAATATAAAGTATATAAACTTTTGTGCTTAAAAAGACATTATCAAAAATAACAACATACCAAAGGGAAGAAACTAATTGCAAATCATACCTCTGGTAACAGTAAAAATGTAAGAATCATTATAAGTCAACAATAAAGGGACAGAAACCTCAAATAATGGGCAATGTATGTAAGTTGACATTTCTCCAAAGAAGAAACACAATTGGCCAATAAGTACACAAAAAGATGTTTAACTTCAAGGATGTAAAGAAATACAAATTCTTATACACTGCAATATAAAATGGTGTAGCTACTGTGAGAAAGTTGAGCAAATCCTCAAAAAATTAAACATGAAGGGCAGTGCCTGTGGCTCAAAGGAGTAGGGCACCAGCTCCATATGCCAGAGGTGGTGGGTTCAAACCCAGCCCCGGCCAAAAATTGCAAAAAAAAAAAAAAAGTTAAACATGAAATTACCCACATAACACAGCAATTAAACAACTAGATATATATTCAAAAGAAATAAAGATATATACCCATACAGAAACTTGGATGTATTTATCATAGCATTATTCATAAGAGCCAAAAGGTAGAAACACAAATATCAACAGATGAGGGTTAAAAGAACAGTGGTATATGCATACCACATACTCAGCCATACATATAAAAAAATGAAGTTCTGATAGATATGCTTCAGCATGGGAGAACCTTGAAAATACCATGCTAAATGAAAGAACCCCCCCCAAAATGGTCTCAAATAGTGTAATAGTTTATATGAAATATCCAGAACAGACAAATCCAAAGAGAAAAAGCAACACAGTAGGTGTTGGAGGGATGGTGTAAGGAAGAAATAGGAAATATTTACTTAATGGTTACAGGGCATTCTAGGGTGAAAGAAACAATTTAAACCATGGAGGGATGTGATAACACACTATAAATATGCTAAATTACAATGAACTTTGGATTTTAAAATAAGTTAATTGTAGGCTATAATTTCATCTCAGATAAACTACTTTTACTTTAAAAAATGAGCATGAGAAAAATGAGAGAACTCAAGAATCACACAGAAAATAATCAAGAATATTAAAAATCTAGAAGAAAACATTAATGCAAATAGTCATGTACGTCCGGGATCAAGTACAGGTAAAAGCGTGAAATTATAATAAAATAGTATTCAAACAATCAGCAGCCTTATATGAAAAGGCATATTTCCTTCTTTTTCTTTTTTTACACTTTTACTTTTTTTAAATCTTATTTATCATGGGAAAGGCATTTTCTTTCATCCTCACTGGTTCTTTAAAATCATGACAGACCTGTTTCTAATAAACATGGCATTTAATCCAAGTTAAATTACTGAAGAAGTGTCTCAACCCTAACCTTACATAAAACTGACCTTGTATCACATCAAAAGTGTGAATAAATTTAACAGGACTGATAACCTCTCTAAGAAAAATTCTACTTATTCTTTAAGCAACTCAAGGAAATTCCTTTCTCTGAAACAACAGTCACTCAGTAAAATGCTGTTAAGAGTCAACTGCTAGATCACTTATTGGCAAATTTCCCCTGAAATTTCATACATACTTGTGCATAGAAACACACATCTCAGCCAGACGTGGTGGCTCATGTCTGTAACCCCAGCACTCTGGGAGACCAAGGTGGGTGGATCGCCTGAGCTCATGAGTTCAAGACCAGCCTAAGCCAGAGTGAGACCTCATCTCTAAAAACAGCTGGGCATCGTAGTGGGTACCTGTAGTCTCAGCTACTTGGGAGGCTGAGGCAAGAGAATTGCTTGAGCCCAAGAGTTCGACATTGCTGTGAACTATGAGGCCATAGCACTCTACTGAGGTCAACAAAGTGAGACTCTGTCTCAAGATATATAAGCATAATGAAATTATGCAAGTACTTCTTCAGAGTCCCAGATAATATTAAAACGACTGCACCATGATACAATGATTTAAATATTTATTTCATATTTTGGCTGTTAAACTAACTGGTAAACTCTGAATTCTATAACTGACTGACATTACAATATTTAATGAAAAAGTATTTAGTACTTACCAAAAAAAATTATGCTTCCTAAACAATAAATTAACAGGTGTAATCTGCTTTTATCAGGATACAAAAGTCCCAATAAGAGAGATATATATATATATATATACATATATTTTTTTTTTTTATTAAATCATAGTTGTGT